CGCTCGCGCCCGACCCCCGCATCCCCCCCCTCCATGCGTCTGTCAGGGCGGCCCGGCGGTCTCCAGGAGATGACGGCGCGTGAGCTCTGGCGCAGGGACCCCACACAGGTGCGCGCGGGGGGCTCGCAGGGCGCCGCCGCCCCCGACGGGCGGAACTGCCGCCGCCGCAGCAGCAGCGCGCGGCCCGGCGGCGGCGCTCCTGCAGGGGGCGCCGCGCCGTGCGGGCGCGTGCAAGCCGGCTCGACGCGCCCGGCTCGTGTGCAGCTACCGCGCGGTGGGCGCATGTGGGGACCTATGGTGGTCGCGTGCAAGCACACTGCGTGGCTTTCCGATGCTCAGGGTGAAACAGCCCCCCATCCCGGTCGTGCCGCCGCACGCCGCACTTCACCTCCAAGTACTCGCGCACGCTTCAGCGCTCTCCTCCCGATCACCCCCCCCCCTTTCCACACAAACACGCACTCCCGCCAGGTCCTGAAGCGCGCTGTGGAGGGCATGCTCCCAAAAAACAACCTCCAGCGCGACCGCCTGCGGAAGCTGCGCGTCTTCTGCGGCCCCGACCACCCCTTCGGCGCGCTGCACATGGTCCCCTGGCGCATGCCCCCCAAGCAGCTGGAGGACCACAAGCGGGGCTGGCTGATGCCCGCAGGGTTTGAGCCCATGAACCCCCAGGCGTACGCGCGGCGCATGCTCGGCAGCCGCCGGCCGGCGGGCGTGGGCGCGGCGGCTGGGGCGCGGCAGCTCGAGAGCCAACAAGAGCAGCAGCAGCAACAGCAGCAGGAGCAGCAGCAGCAGCAGCAGCAGCCGGCCGGGGCGGAGCAGGGCCAACAGGGGGAGCAGCAGCACCAGGCGCCCGTCATTCCCTTTGATGACCTGCTGGCGTCGGACGAGCGGCAGTTCATCGAGGAGTGCCGACGGCGGGGGTTGCGGGGCACACGCAGCTAGGGGCCGCGCCCACCTTGCCTTGTGAGGTGCAGCCGTTACAATCATAGCTTCGTGGGGGCCTGCAGTGCCTGCTCTGTTTCACCCGGTGCAACCCGCCTGCGTTGGCTGGCTAAAAAGTACAAAGCCATCGGTTACAATGGTAATGAGATTGGGCATGGTGCAAAAAAGGGTTGTCATGCGAAAAGCACGGGTCAGCAGTTGTGGCGCGGCGGCCAAAGCGCACACGGCGCACTCGGCGCAGCCGCCGGTTGCGTTCGCAGTGACGCGCAGGCGGGCGCGTCGCGCGCTGTGAAATGCTGGGCGCAATAAGAATGTAGCGAGGAGCCAGAGGCCACCTGCAGACATTATCTCAGAGCGCAGCGCATACAAAGCGCGTGCCGTCATGCAGGTCGGTTACGAAAAGGTGGTTGAAAACCTGAGGTGCAAGCAGCCGCATGTCCCCGCTGATCGCCACAGGCCAATCTATCATGGCTGCCCGCACATGATACGCGCGAGCGGCTTGCAGCATGCACTGACACGCTCCTGCCGCCGCAGCCGCCGCCGGCAGGCACGGCATCTGTACCGCGGCGCCCATGTCCCAGGGCGCCCTGCAGCGGCGGCCGCCACGCTTGCCCTGGCTCAGCCGGACTTGAACAGCAGGATCGCCACTTGCCCCAGATAGAAATAAATAAAATGCTTGGTCTCGTGGGTTACGTACGATCCAAAGTTGCGGCCGACGATGCAGTGCCTGAGCGGAGAACGGGTTCGGCAAGGGGAGCAGCGCATGCGCGCATGCGCACATGCGCGCGTCAGGCGGGTGGTGAGCTCAACACCGCTGCGGCGCGGATGCACTGCGCTGGGCCCCTAGCCCAGTTGTGGCACGGCGTCACACATGATGCTTCACAATGAGTAGTTTAGGTCATTGATCAGTATCCGAGCGCATCAGCAGCCAAAAAGAGGGCGCCAGCAAGCCAAGATCAAGCTTGGTGGATCCTGCGCGCTCACCAGGTGGGATTGTACTTCTTGTCGAACTCCTTCTTGATATATGCAGCGATGTCCTTCTCGATGTTGTACTTCTCGAGCGCCTGGGTGGCGCAATCCACTGCATCGGCCTGCATTTCCTCAGACATGTCAGCGTTCTTGATCACAGCCTTGCGCAGCTCCACGCCGGACGCCATGGCGAAAGGTCAGGCCGTGGGCACGACTACAAAGTGGAAGGGGCTCCGCCGTAACAGGGCAGCAGGAAGCGCGCGCAATCAAGACCGCGATGTGGGGGCGTACAGGCTCGATAAAACAGGTGCAAGATTGATGTTTGTGCTGCCAGCAATATGTTTGGGGCAAGGGTGACGCCCAAAGAGGAGCGGTTGCTTGAGAAGTGTTTTGAGCGGCAGCTGGCGAGCCCTAATCCGTGCCAGGTGCCTTCAATGCAACGAAAAAGGCAAGCGTGAGTAGAGATTTGCAGCGTCAACCTGAGTGATGGTCTGGCCAACGGCATGGTCCGCACCCCTGGGACCCTCCGGACTCTGCTGTTGCCCATCCCGTTGCGCTCGACAACGCTGTCGCTGACAGGGCAGTCAACACCTGCAGCAACCTGGGAGCGTCAGCCAATGAGCTCAGCGTATATATCCCAAAGACCTTTCAGGACCTAGCCTATCGGGCAGCTTGCTCTGGCCGAGCAGAAAGGCGGCTTATGCGGTTTGAGAAAGGTTTGTAGCGACGACAGATGAGCTCACACAATCCATTAGATAATCAGTGGCCATGTAGTCATCACTAGCAGCCTTAATTTATTATAATCACACACTTTCGCTTGCATCGGGCTGCCATGCGCCCTGCGTTCATGCGTGCAACCACGCTGTCGCAGGACACCACAGCAGCCTCGCTGTGGCCCACCACCCACGTTTAGCAAATGCGCGGTGCCTCTTGTGCCTAAGCGACGCCTTTAAGACGGCGGGCACACTATTTGGGAAGCTGAACCACACCGAGTTGGCGTGGAGCAACGGCGGGAAGCGTGCGTTTGCAACACGAGCGTTGCTGGGAACGACCTGATGCAACCACCGGAGAACCTTCGGGAGGACAGTATACCTTGTGCTTGCACGGGTCTGACGAGTTGTTTCAACCTGCTTCCAACAGCTAGGGCTCAATCTGCAAGCACTGGCGCATCCAGGGTTTCTGGGTGCGGTCCGCAGCCCCGCGTGTTGCAGCGATTGTGTCGTGCATGCCAGCGCATGCGCATGCAAGAACAAGTTGCGTCCCGTCCCGCAGGCGTTGAACCAGCCAGGCACGGAGATTTGACATTGGACGTGGTTTGGCGTAACAGTTGGTGTAGTGGCCAGGCTCCACGAAGCGGCGAAAACTTCGCAGCTGCTGTGGTGGCTGGCTGACAACCAAGTCCAGGGTGCTGGTGGGTTTCCTTGACAGCGCTTACGGGTTACACCAGGCGTCCGAGAGTGTGGGGCAGGGCGCGTTCATTGTCTCCGGGGGCAGCTGCGGCAAAGCCGAAGTGAGAGTTGTTTGATGTTTGTGCTGCGGCAACCATTGGCGGTCTGTACATTGTAGCTAGCCAGCTGTAGCAACAGCCATCTCTCCACCGGAGCTGCGAAAAACCCACCACTGGTGGGTTGTGGTGGCACATGACCACCTTTCTCTCGAAAATGGCACATACGGTATGAAGTCTTGATTTCCCACTTTCACAGCTTCACATCTCCAGGTCGAAATTTGCAGGTGTAAACGCATTTCACATGGCTTCAGCGCTCCAGTTGAAGGCACCAGCCCCATCATCATGTAGAATCGTATGCACACATACAACTGCCGCACTTGCCTCAAGCATTTCAAAGTGGCCTTCAAACAGGCTGCGGTGCTGCATCTGAAGAGCGCCCCGCAGGTACAGCAACAAAATGCACAGGCAACAAAATGCACAGGCTTAAGAGTGCACATGGTGAAGTGGATGTGTGGCCAACTGACACCTGGGCTGGATGCAAATGGTGGTAAGAAGCGAAGGTAACGTTGTGCTTGTTCCACAAGCAGGCGTCCCTACGTTTGGCGACATGCCTTGCGCAGGCAACTGCCACGTCAAACCTAAAGCCATGACAACACAACTGTTGCTGCTGTTGGCAGCGCTTGGCTTGGCTGCAGTGAGCTGCGCGCCAGCCTGAGCCAACGCATTGACTCACCTGGTGACATACGACAGCCGCTTTGCACCCTCCTGCGGTGCCAACCTTGTTACTGTAATCATCATCGTTTGAAATTCTTTTTCTGATCACACTTGATGCTGGCCCTGAAACTCGCCCAGGCATAATAGCTCAGATCGCCAGTAGGGGGGGCATCCTGATGTATGTCACCTTGAATGCATTAATGCGTTTTTACTAGTGTATTTGGCAACATTAACAATACATGAGCTGAGACGGCAACGACTATGTCCCTGTTGGGTTGCTGCTTGCCGCTCGGAGGGCGTGACCCCCACGAACTGACGCGTGATGAGGTGAGATTCCATGTGTAAGGCGCTGCAGCGTGAACATGCGCGCTGTGGCGGGTGGACAAGCGCCAGGCGGGCAAGCGCACTGCAATGCATGCTGCACACATGGCATGCAAGGGGGAAGCACGCAGTGTCCCACGAAAAGCGTCGCATATGCAGATCAAGGACTTGTACACCACATGCCTGAAACTTAACAATGGGCATCTGATTGTTCACGGTGAGAGCTGTGCGCGGTGCTACCCGCGTCACGAACGCCGCCCGTATGGCCGCCCATGGGGCGTCGATGGCCTGTTGCCGCAAGCAGAAGAGGACCCCGCAAGCGGAGCCCAAGCGATGCAGAAGACCTGCCGCCTTATTGCAATCCCGCCTCTGGCAGGGATGTTTGCGCGTGCCGACTCGGTCAACACGAACCGGCGGTCCTATCCAAAGGTGCGGCCGCGAAACACATGGCGAGCGCACAGGAGATGCCCAGGCGGCACATGCGGGACAGCAAAGGGGAAACCGTCGGGTCACTGAGGCCAGCATGAAATCCTGAGCCCATGAGACGCATGCAAGGCGCAAAACACCCATGCTGCGGTGCGCCACGCATGCAGCGGCTGCTGGCCCGCGAGGTCGCGCGGTTCAAGGCGGAGCACGTCGGCCCGGGCACCGCGCTGGGGGAGCTGGACCACCCCTCCTACGCGTCGGAGTTCTTCCGCGTGCTGAACCTGCCAAACATCAGCCACCAGGTCGGCGCGCCGCGCCGCGCCGCGTCGCAACGGCCACCTCATCTGGGGCGACGGCGTTCGGGGCCGCGGCGGCTTTGGTCATGTTGGACCGATACGCAGACAGCAGTCCTCGCAGATGGAAGAGCGAAAGCAGCGGGGCTACGCGGAGTGGTTCAGTCGCCCGCCCGACCGCCGCAGTGGCGGGATATGTTGGTCATCAGTATGATGCCAGATTGCGCAGCCCTGCGCCCGCCCATGCGCACCCGCCCGCAGGTCCTGCGGGTCTGGTGGCGCGGCAAGGAGCTGTGGGGCTGCGTCGAGGTGCTGCCCACGCCCTCCGGCCTGCTGCTGTGGCACCTCTACTCTCAGGGCATCCGCATCGGCGTCTCCAGCCGCTCGTGGGCGAGCCTCGTGCGCACAAAGTCGGGCGGCTGCCTGGTCGGGGACGACATGAAGCTGATAACTTTCGACTTCGTGGTAGACCCGTCAAACAGGGGGGCCATTCTGCTGCCCCTCGCGCGCCGGTTCAAGTGAGTGACGCCGGCGATCATTGGGCCGAGTGGGCTGCCAGCCGGCTGAGCGCCTCGCATGGAATCATTTTCGAGGCACGCCTCCCGCGCAAACTTGTGCAGTGGCGCGTTCTTAGCCAGACCGCACACTCCCCGCACCTCCTCTTGTACCAGGCGGCGGCTCCCTGACCAGAGTCGCGCCATCCAGCTGTCGCACTTGGGGATAGGGTCGTGCGCCATGCAGGCCGCGGGGCGCATGCCGGCGGCCAAGGTGGTGGCTGGCGCGCTGGCTCACATGCGGCAGCAGCAGGCGGCGGCGGAGCGGCGGGCTCGGCAGCAGGATGAGCAGCAGGCAGACCAACAGCAGCAGCAGCAGCAACAGCAGCAGCAGCAGCAGCAGCAGCAGCAGCAGACGCGGGGCCCACAGGGGTTCCTAGTGCAGCAGGAGCAGGGCGCCATCCCGCACGAGGCTGCGTGCCTGCAGCGGGGCATGGGGGAGCGGGAGGACCAAGAGCAGACGCAGCAGCAGCAGCAGCAGCAGCAGCAGCAGCAGCAGCAGCAGGATGAAGAGGATGTGGGAGGGCAGTCAGCAGGGGGTAGCGCAGTCCAGCTGCATCAGGCAAGGCATGATTATCAGCAGCACCAGCTCCACGAGCCTCATAAATTGCTCGGACAGCAGCAGCAGCAGCAGCAGCAGCAGCAGCAGCAGCAGCAGCAGCAGCAGCAGCAGCAGCAGCAGCAGCAGCAGCATACCCAGGTGTTGGATGGCGCGAAGGGCGCAATTACACGCATGGGCCCTCTGCAGGCGCCACCCCCGCTGGCGCATGCGCCTGGCAGCCTTTCTGTCATGGTCCCGACATGCGCATGTGCCAATCAGCAGCAGCAGCAGCAGCAGCAGCAGCAGCAGCAGCAGTGGACTGCGGCGGCAGGGGCACGGCAGATGAGCAGCGGCGGTGGTGGCGGCCTACCGCCTCCACACCCAGCAATGGGGTCCAGCCGTAAGGCGCTCGCAGCTGCGCCCGCTCCTGCGGCGGCGGTGGCCGCCCTGCCGTTGGCGACGTGCCTCCCTGGGGGTGTTCTCCGCGCTGCAAGCCATTACAAGGCGACGCATGACTCATGGCTGCCCCTCGACCCAAATGGCCGCTGCCTCGAGGCCCATTTGCAAGGCATTGCCGCAAAGGCGCACGCAGCAGCTGCAGGCCCGGGGCTGCCGCCCGAGCACGCGCCGGCTTGGTGGCGGCGGCGGCGGCAGCAGCAGCGGGGGACGTCGGGCGGCAGCGCGGCCGAGCGCGCGCCGCGGCTGTCGGGCATGCGGGGGGAGGCGCTGGGCAGTAGCGACAGCCTGCAGTGCGCCGGCGTCGTTCAGGGCCGCACGCCAGACCCCAGTGCTGGCGGCGCTGGTGTTGGCGCTGGCGCGGTCGGAAACCACAGGGCAAGCGGCGCTTCGGCCGCGCAGGCAGGGAGGTGGCTGTCTGGCCACGGGTCGGACTCAGCGCCTGCTTGGCGGGCTGCAGCGGCTGCAAATAGGTGCAGCGGTGGCGGCCGGAGCAGCGGCGGTGGCGGTGGCGGCGGCGGCGGTGGCCCTGGCCCACCACCAGACATGGATGCATTTGCAGCGGAGGTTGAGGGCACGCTGCAGGCGTGGCGGGCGCTCACGCAGTCGTGGCGCCAGCAGGTGCTGCAGGTAGCCGCGTGATCAGCTAGGCTCCATTTGCCCCTGCACATGCTGACATTTGCATGCGCGAACACCTTGGACATGAGGAGGTCACTGGCGACGGTACCAAGTGACGCCCCTGCCTTCAATCCCTGCCAGCACAAGCGGCTTGGGCAGGCTTCTTGCCACCGGTGTGATATCACAAAGCGTCGTGCTGGTATACATACACATCTTGCGCACACATACAGCACCGTCGATTGCGAGTTCCGCGCTGCTGCGTGCTGTGCAGGCTGCATGGATGCCAGTACGGTAACTCGAGCCTCCAGCGGCATGCCATCTTCTGACAGCGGCATGCCGTCGTCTGACAACCTGGGGTGGGCAGCGGCATGGTGTAGAACGAATGACCCGAGCTTGTGGCCGCGTTGCGCTGTCTCTCTGGATTGTGTATGCGGCAGAAACGGTGCTATGATCGGAGCAGGTGTGGCCTTCCTCCAAGGATCCACCTCGGCGTCGCCCTGCACACCTCACTCCCGCCACGCTGCTTTGCCTTTCGACCAAGTTCAAACCGTGCCGCCGCCGCATGCGATGCCCGACGACCCCTCTTCCTCCCCATTCTTCAGCCCCGCCGCGCTCGCCACGCGCGACGTCGTCGCGGAGATCCTGCGCTTCCTCGACACCCCTGCGGTCGGCGCGCTGCGGGCGTCATGCGCCGCTGCGAGGGCGGTGGTGGACTCGACACTGCACTCGGCCGCGCCGCCGCGCGCGGCCGAGTTGGGAGCCCTGTGCGCGCTGCTGGAGCGGATGCCGTCGCTGCGGGAGCTGTCGCTCGCGGGCTGCGCAGACAGGTGCGCCCGCGCGCCACGCACGCGTGCGCCCGCCAGGGAAGGACCGCCGTTGCGGTGCGAGCGGACGAGGGCATCTTTGTGCCCTGCAGTGGCATGAGGGGCTGCACCTTCTCCTTGGAAGCCAACCAAGCAGCCCGTCTTCCGCCAACAGCAGCACACTTGCCGTATGCAGCAATCGCACCAGCTGCCTGCCCACCACTCCAACACACAAACTGGGGCATCGTCCGTGCGCGACCCCCGCCCCAACGTCCGTTAGCGCACCATTCCTCAACAAAGACACAAACCCACCTGCCGCCCGACTCCAAACCCCCACATAGACACACCCGCGAGCCGCCCAACTCTCAACCTCCACAAATCATTTTAATCATACACACCCAAATGCCACCCAAATGCCGCCCAACTCCCCAACCCCTCAACCCCTCGTCGCAGGGCCCTATGCGGCTTCCCCACAATGGCCGCCGCCGAGGCAGCCCTCCAGCCCCTCCGCGCCCTGCTGACTCAGCGCCTGGCGCGCCTCGCGTCCCTAGAGCTGCCGCTCGCGGCGATGCTCGACCTGGGGGCCCTCGCGTGGGCGCGCGACCTGTCGGCCGGCGTGCACCTGACCGGGCCGGACGCGCGCGCCGCGCTGCGCGCCGCGACTGCGCGGCGCTACTCGGGGGCGTATAAGGCGCTGGAGCGGGGACCCCATGCCGTGCTGCTGCTGCCGGGCTGGCTGCTGGGGCCGGGTGAGCGCCGGCGGCGCGCCTGGCGCCGCAGCATGCGCCGCATGCCTTCCACGAAGCTGCCTGAAGTTGCTCTGTGGGCAGATTGTTGCTCTTTTCATTTGAAATGCGAAACAGCCTGCGCGCATGTGCTCAGCTGCGAAACTCAGGGACGTCTTGGACCCGAGCGTCGCGCGCCGCCGCTCGATCGCAGACGTGAGGCGGCTGGCAGTGACGCGCGCGAGCGGCGGGAGCGCCGCGTGGCCGGACGACCAGCCGGCGGTTGTGTGGGCGGAGCCCGGCGAGCTGGCGCAGCTGGAGGTGCGCCATGGGGGTCACGGCGGGGGGCCGCTGCTGGGCGGGAGCTGCGGGCGTGATGTCTGTCGCTGGTGGTCTTTGGCAGCGCGCAACAGAATGGTCGGGGCGCCGCCTTACATGCAGCTGCCCTTCGCTGCGCTCGGTTGTCATTGAGTTCGTCTGCCCCTCTACGTTTGGGTCTCCAAAGTCTTATCAACTGATCTTCAAGTCAGTGCTGAGCTTGATCTATCAGTGGGCCAGGTCCTTGTGCACCGTTCATACATTCTACTGGTCTGCGCACCCACCGCGCAGTCCATCACCATCGAACATGTGTGCCTGGTGCACGCGCCGCCGCCCCTGCTGGAGCTGGCGGCCGCACCCGCGTCGCGCCTGCGGGAGCTGCGGCTGCGATGCTGCCAGATCAGGCACGTAAGGGACGAGGTGCGGGACCTGACGCGGCTCACAAGCCTTGATCTGTCAGGTAGGTTTGAGGAGATGTGTGTGTGTGTGTGCGTGTGAGTGTGTGTGTGTGTGTGTGCGCGCGCGCACGTGCGTGTGTGCTTGCAGTCGAGCGCGCGAGTGAGTGCCTGCACACCAGCACGTGCATGCGGTCATGTACACGTTCGCATGGTTGCATGGGTCCATGTGAGGGGATGCATGGGCGCTTTTGCGACCATGACCACGTGCTGCTGCGCTAATATCTCTGCTTGGGGTTGATTTGTGTGAAAGGCTGAATACCGAATCCTGTAAAATGCCCACCAGGCTACACTTGCGATCTAACACCCACATCAACCCCTGTTCCCCCTGCCCCCCATCGCCCCCACCTTCCAGGCAACTTCCTCAAGTCCCTGCCCGACGGCGTCTCCAGCCTCGCGTCCCTGCGCCGCCTGGACGTCTCAAAAAACTCCCTGGCAACCCTTTGTAACGGCCTGGGCGCCCTGACCGCCCTGGAGGAGCTCGATGTGTCGTCCAACCAGCTGCTGGCGCTGCCGCGGGCCCTCTGCGGCCTGCGCGGCCTGCGGCGGCTCGTCCTGTCCCACAACTGGCTGAGCGGCGCGGGCGGGCTCGCGGGCGCGTGCGCGGGGTGGCCGAGGCTGACCGAGCTGCGCCTCGCAAACGGTGCGCCGCCGGCGCTACCGGCGCTGCGGCTGGGTGGGCGTTGCGGCCCGACCCCTCAGCCCTGGAGCGCGCTGCTGCTTCATTCGCCCCTGCACGGCTGCTGTCGTGCTGCTGCCGCGCCTTCTCACCCCCGCCTTCTTGCGTGCGGGGCTGCTCAATTGTTTTTCCAGATTGATCAACTTCGGTAATTGCGCCTGCGCTTTGTTTGCAGCCGGCGGCAACCTGTAGAGTCTTGCTGCTGCCCCATGCACTTCCACCCCCGCTCCCCCCATCCATGCCCCTTCTCCCGCAGTGAGCGACAAGCGCGGCGCGCTGGAGGTGCCGGCCGCCGCGCTGGCGACCCAATGCCCGGATCTCGAGATCCTGGACGTGTCCTCCCAGTTCCAGCTGGACGAGTCATCCCTCTCCGGCCTGGCGGCCTGCCCGCGGCTGCGGCGCCTGGTGGTCGGGTGGCCGGTGCGCGCGGGCGCGGCGCGGCTGCAGGCGCAGCTGCCCGGGCTGGTGGTTGAGTAGGCGCGGGCCGCGCTGTGTGCTGAGGGTCAAGGGCTGGGTCTCGCAGTTTATGGCATGACTTCTGCCCCAGCACTGTTTGGCTTCCGCGTTGAATCCTGTTACCTCGCTGTAATCAGTGTGCATGATCAGGCAGGGGGGGGGGGCGAACAACTGTCGCTGTCGCAGCACAACGCTGCACACGCGCTTGCGCGCGCGCGTGTGTGTGTGAGTGCATGTGTGTGTGCAAGTGCTGCTGGAGGTTGAATGTTGAGCAAGCTGACCCCCGTGAGCCGAACCCACTCAAACCTTGTGGCCACATCGCCCTCACCACTGGGTGCGCATGCACGCACGCGTTGGCGCCGCACGCTTCGCTGCCTCCCGCATCCCTATCGGCGGCACTTGGCGCAAACGGAGCGAGCGGGTTTCAGCAACAAATCGGCGCTGGCACGGCGGACTGTCTGCGGGGAGGGGTTGCCAGGCTGAGCTGGGGGTGTCGTTTCGCGCGGAGCACTCATCTTCGTTGTGCGGGAAACCGACAAAACTCTCCGTCAGCCCCACAAATCGAGGCAGTGAGACTGCGGATGCACGGGGGCCGCGGCGGCTTTGCACAGACCCCCCAGCAGAGCCGGATCGGCATGACCGCGGTCTGGGCTCAGGCCGATACCGAGCGCCAAGCTGAGAGTCGATGATGTGGCTTGCCTGCTGGCAAAGCTTTGACTGGCGCCTTCCCAGCTGCAACAGGAGCTGCCCCATTGCATCAACCAAGTTAAGGACGGCAGAAGCACCCGCCGCATTTGAGCAACATCGGTCATCCCTCATCGCAACCCTCGCCTGCCGCAGGCGGCCACGAGCACAGGGTGTACGAGGGCCCAACAAAGTTTTACACCCCAACAGCTGTCGAGCTGATGTCGTCGCGTATGATAAATTTGTGCGGAAGCCGGGCTGGTAGGCAGGGGTTGACCCCTTGTATATGTACAGGAACCAGCCCGGCGCCAGCGCACAAGAACAGTGTCGCTCAACTGCCGCTCCGCTGGGCAGGCGCGCCGCCAGGAATGTGTACAGGAGCAGAGAGCTCTCCAATGCCTTTGAAAGGCAGCAGCACATGCAGTCGCAGGTGGGCCGCCGCGCATCCGCCAAGGGGCTCAGCTGGCCGAGGGGCCGCCGGCGTTTTCATGACCCAACCCAGGGCGCCCACGAGGGCGGGGGCGGGATGGAGCAAATGCTCGCAGTGCAGGTCGGAGGGGCCGTCAATGCTCATGCATGCATGGCGGACGCACGCGTGCCAGGATCCATGCCGGAAATTGCAGAAGTGCGCTGTCGCGAAACGCGACTCCAAAGGCCGGAGGGGCCCGCATCACACGCCAGCGGGCGTAGCCGCCGGCCGGCCCCGGCACGTGTCCCCGAAAACGAGGGAATCAGGGGGATCAGGGGCCCTGGCGGGCCACGGGGGCCCTCGTCACTCGAATGCTATCGTCGCCCGTGCAATTCGCGCGGGGCGGGGGGTCGTTTTGTCCCTTGAAAGCAAAGGGCGGGGTCGTTTTCAGGAGCAGCCCGGGCGGCAGGGGGTGCACGCGTCATCACCCCTCGCCTGGTGTCAGTCAAGGCTCGGCCCCCTCCCTGCAGCACGCACTCCTGCTAAGGAACCGTGGAGCATGCAGGCACAGCACCGTCTAGGGGCCCAACAATCATCAAGCAAAAGGACCGGGGCTGCTGAAGTGTGTGTTTGTGTGTGATCTTGACCTCTGATCTTGACCATGGGCTGTCTGCCAGCTGGCGCGCGTCAGGGGCGGCGCGACTCGGGGCTCAGTGGCCGGCCAGCAGCACCTCGAGCGCGTCCCCCCACACAGCCTCCACTACACCAGCCACCGCAGCCACCCGCTCCCCCAACGCCGCCACGTCATCAAAAAGCGCCCCCGCCCCCGCGCGGGCCAGCGCCGCGCCGACGGCGCGCCCCGTCGCACCCGCCGGCGCGAGCGCCGCGCGGCCGTACAGCGCGTGCGCGAGCAGCGCGGAGCAGACCGCGGCACGCACGGACTTGAACGCCGCGCCGGACGGGTCCACGATCGACGTGAACATGCCCCTCACGCGGTCCTCGTCAGCGACGGGGGCCGCCAGATCGCCGCCCTCGTTGCAGAGCGTCGTGATCTCGGTCACCAGATCACCCAGCTTCATGTTTGAATCCGACAGCACCACCATGAGCCGCCGCCGCGCGGCGGCGCGGCCGCCTGCGTCCCACGCCGCCGCGCCCGCGGCTGCGCGCAGCTGCTGCGCGATGAGCAGCGCGGCCGCGGCGACGACCAGGCGCTGCAGGCCGTTTTGCAGCGCATGGAGGCGTTCGCGGTCAAAGAGAAGCACCTCCGGCGCGCCAGGCCCCGCGGCCGGCGCGTCGCGCGCGAGCGTCGCGACGAGCGCCGCTCGCAGGGCCCCGCGCCACGACCCCGCGAGCGCGGGCAGCGCCGGCCGCGCCGCGC